CTTCAAGAGGAGGAATGCAAAGAGGAAAAAATTTCAGCAAGGCAGTCTTTCCCAAACCAGCTAGCCTTTTTTTGGTCAGCTGGACTAGTGTATGCAGAGTCAGTAGATCACCATGCTCAATCTAAGACAGAGTCTGTGCCCGTAAAAGGAACTGATCTAATTGGCCATGTGCCTCAGAGCATGTCTTGGCACCCCTGCAGGTGGGCTGTAGCAAAGTCTAGATCCGTCTCTTCACACGTGGTTATTTTGCTCCTTCCTTCCCCAACCTACTGTCTTGAATTCCAGTTGTTAAAAGGTGTTAAATCAATGTTTAGCCTTTGGGATCTTTCATTTTCTTTGCCAGGCTGTTCCACCCCAAAGTAAATAGCCCCATCCACTTTATACACAGTTGCCTGTTTTGCTTGCAATCCGCTCAACCCTACTGTGTAACATGAAGGCGAAACCAGAACGCGTGTACGTATTGATCAGAAAAATATTACTAGATGTCTCTTTCTAGTCTGTCAATGGGATGGAATGAAGACTGAACTAATGGCGCTAGGGTGTTGTCTTGTTTTAGGCCAAATCAATGGGAAACTGGATAGATTTAAAGGTTGCCTGGCTGAGTCCTTTCGCAGCTGACCCAGCGGTGTTTCTGTGGACCTCTCAAATCAGAACACAAAGCGGTATTTTGCCCATGATGCAGTTTCTCACGCAAGGATAGCTGCCAGGCCTTTGCATACTCTTGAAGCACCAGTCTTCTCTTCCTCTTGTTACCCTTTGCAGCTGAACTATGTCATTCTCCATGTACTCGGTAGGAATGTCTATGGGAGCCGATTCATTTTAAATATAACACTTAACCTTGTGTATGCAGAGTATATGACCCCAAATGGTATCATCTCCGAATTTACAAGCTTAATCTTACTGGTAAAGCTGTCTGTAATCAGGCAATAAACAAGGGAAAAAACGATGAATAAAAGGCAAGAGCGGTCAGTAGCCTCTGGGCTAGGGAAGGTCTATACGGATGGAGCGATCTGTTCTTCAGGGTCCTCTTCGTTGTATTGAACATCATGGTGGAACCATGTTCTTGCCAACGAAGGGGCTGTGAAAGGGCATGAAAGGGGGTGATTCTGCAAGACCAGATCACTAACTCACAGATGCTGCTGTGCTGGTGGTAGTACAGGAGGATGCAGAACATATTGCTCTCTCTCCTTTCCAGCATCCAAACCACCTTTTGTTTGAGTGCAAACATAGGAAGCTGCTTCTGGAGCATCCAGTTTGCTGGGGTTCAGGTGCGGGGCACATTTGACTTGCCTAGCCACTGACTACCACTCTCTGTCAGCTGGAAGTAGTTTGTTTAACACTTGCAGTGAATGGGGAATATCATGGTCTCAGCTTTTACTCTTTCTCTCTTCTGCCTGGGGAAGAGAGGCAAGAAACAAATGAAAAGAAACATGTATGGTTGGCTCTTTCCAGAGTGAGGGTTGTTCATCTTGGCTACCCATGCTGTGAACGTTCTCCTAGCTCTGTACTACTTGATTAGGCTTCTTTAAAGATCTGTGTGTGTGCGTGTGTGTGTGTAGTGGAAGGGGAGAGTGGCATAAATCAGGGAAAGGAGTAACAGTTCATCTGAACAGAGTGATGTTAGACCTTTAGGTAGGAACTTAAACCTCTCCTTTTCTTTCTTAATTAATGTTGTGCTTGAAGTTGGCCGGATTGGATGTATGAGTGATGAACTTCAACTAAAACAATAGATTTACATATCTTCAAATTGCAGATCTTGGATTAGTTCATCAGAGTGTAGACTCCATTTCCCCTCTGCTTATCAGCCTACTGGTGCCCGTTCTGTATCCTGTACGCTTGCTGTCCTTGGTGCAGGAATCTCCACTGCAACTTCTGCCATTTGGAGCTTCCATTTTACATCATTTCATCAGTTCTTCAACCTGCTTTTGATTTCATTCAAAAAAAAAAACCTTTCTTCTTTTTCTCATCTTAATTCTAACCTTGCAGTGTACCTATAGAATACATATTCCTACATCAGCCACAGTCATGCAAAATACACTGAGCAGGCTGTGTGAGAGAGGATGTGTGTGAGAGAGAGACGTGGTCCTGAAGGTTAAAGTCAGCTGTTGCAGTAGAACAAATTTAAGGCTCTTTTAGTCTTTTTAAAATTACCAGAAACTTCTAAAGTAATGTAGATAATGAATCTGACATGCAGAATTAAGCCTGGAAGACATTCTGCAGGGATGCCTTGTGTAGCGATAGGAGGGAGCAGATTGGAAAAGAGTAACTGAGAGTATGAAATGGTGACTTGAAAATAAATAAATGATTGATAAGAAGCAAAAGCCTGGCTTAACACTTATTAGTGCTGGTCCTAAATACAGGAGCTGCTTAATATAGAAACTTTTTTAACGGTGTCTGTAATAAGATAAACAAGAAGCACTTGGGTTGGGCTCTGTATAAATAATCTCCTACTGATAAGAAA